GCAATATGTTGTACAAACGGACGACCTACAGCTATATGCTGTAGCCCAACAGGTAAAATGGTCTTTTCCTGAAGAGTTTGGTTGCCATGTCATTTGTATGGGTGGTTCCCACACACTGTCATGCTTCATTGCTTCTATTGGGAAAATTTGGGTCGTTGCAGATTTGTTGGCCATTGTAGAGTCTGGGGTTTATGCAGCATCCACTGCAGCGCCGAGGTTGTGTGGAAAACAATTCAACAGGGCAATAAGAGGGCTTACTTTGGCATTTATAGCTTTGATATCTCTCATATTGTCAGTTTTTTATTTTGGTACCAAAGAAGGGATAGCGAAGTTTCACAGTTGGTGTTGCATGAGGTGTCAAATGCTTAGGCGTTTTACAAGTTTTGTGCTGTGGGTTTTATGGGTGACCAACATGTATCTGAGAGTAGTCTGAGAATCTGCTGCCAAATTTCTCAGAATTCCAGGCCTGGGGATGAGGGAAATTTCATACATTTCAGTTTTGGGACTGCCTCCTTCAAGCTCTTCCAGGCCTACCCAACTACCAGACTCGGCGCCTAAGGATCCTGAATTAACCGGTATATCGGACCACGCTACCCGTTTTCAAGGTGTGTGTCAGATCGCATTCCGGAGTATCATACCCCAGAACAAATTTTGTAGCACGACTTCGGGTTCATCCACGCTCGGCTGAACAACCTGAAACTGTACTCTTACTTTAGAGTACTCTATTTTATTGTCTCTATGGGGGTATATGGGGACTTTACGACATTCGGTTTGAATGTTTAACCACTTTTGATAGGGCTTTTTTGCATTGTATTAGATTAATGTGGCAGTCTGAGGTTCATCTAGGTGGCTTTCAAATTTATGCGCCCGGTTTTAAAATCATATAGCGATTTTACGACAATCGTTTACTATCCAATCAAAGTGACAGCCGAGCATGCCAGGGCTCATCCTGTCGGTGTTCTGGCTGATACTCTGAAATGCGATCTGACACACACCTTGAAAACGGGTAGTGTGGTCCAACACACCGGTTAATTCAGGATCCTTAGGTGCCGAGTCTGGTAGTTGGGTAGGCCTGTCTTCTTTTAAACTTTGTTAGAACAGGGTGAACGGGATGCTCCTTGTCTCAGTAAGGGCAATGTTGCCCAAATTGTTTGCGACAAAATATATGCTCAAAGGGCCCAGTGTACCTACTAGATATGTGAGAATCCATATTCTCTGAGGACATGTATTGATATTCATTATGATTTTGATGAAAGAGCATGAATGACATGTCACTAATGTAGATATAAAGAAGACGCTAAGGGTGTGTGCATGTATATGTGTTCGTGGGTGTGTGTGAGTAGATAACGCATGCAGGCACAAGCATTTTAAGGTATATATGAGAGTATGTACTGAGATAAATTTTTGAAGATAATTGAAGTGGCAAAATAATGTATTTAGGTGCTTCTTTCTTTACTGAGAAGTCAACTTGATAAATGTAGACCGCAGACATGCATCATGGATTTGCACTGGGTTATATGGACTGATGCACTTCAAATAAAAATAGGTTCCTGTTTTTTATATGACAGACATTTTGGTATTGGTAAATACATTAGATAGATCAAAAAGATAAATTATCTTTTTTTTGGCTACATATTTCCAAACTATGGGATTTCTTTTTACTGTTACAATCGCGCACAAAGGTTCACAACAAGAAGCACAGTATTAACTTTGACTTGACTTAACATGTGTTAGTACATATAAATATCAGACAATCCAAAAACTGTTTATTATAAGTGAAAAGTTACAGTAATAGCACATATCCTACAATTATTTTTCTTTTACAACCATATATGTAGTAATACTTTGTGAATAATTTCATCCTTTAGATGTGCGTAATGCAATTTTGAGAAAAATACTCCATTTGGCAGCCATCTTGAAAATGGTGGCCATCTTGAAGATGTATTAAGCCTCATGTACAGCTAGCACAAATATGTATAAGAGGTTGGACACAAAAAGTATTTATTTGATGATTTAGCTGAACCAAATCCCAAGTTATGGAAATTTGCATTTCATGGCAGTGAGTCATTTTGAATATTTAAGAATTGACTGCTAAAATATCACTGAAGTTTGACCAAATGCCATAATGTAATAAATTAATAACTGCTTTGTATAATTCTTTTCATAATAGTCATATGGACATTATGGTTTTGATTTTATATGTAAAGATTTGGAATAAAATGAACAAATTCGAACACTTTTCATAAATGATGGTAGCCATCTTGAAAACGGCGGCCATCTTGAAAATGGTGGCCATTTTGAAGAAGTTGTATGAAGCATCATGTAAAATCTAGCATCTAGCACAAATATGTTGTGAGCTTGGTGATAATTTTTTTTTTTTATTATTATTTAAGTGCACAAACGCCTACCTCATGGAAATAGGCATTTCATGGTGGCCATGTTGAATATTTGAAAATGGACTGCTTTGCCATCCCCCAAATTTAATCAAATGCCATAACTAAATGAAAATATGCCTACTTTGTATATTTCATGCAATAACTATTTTTTGGACACCACAGTTTTGATTTTATATGTAAAGATATGGAATAAAATGAGAAAATTTGACCAATTTTTCATAAACAATGGCGGCCATATTGAAAACGGCGGCCATCTTGAAATCGTGCTATGATGTTTTTTTTAGCCCACAGCCTCCTTCACCAGGAAATGTGAAAAGGTCATATGATACACAATGTTTCAGGTGTGTTTATCAATGATTTGTATTTTTAGAAAAAATGCAAAAAAACAGGCGGCCATCTTGGATTTTGTCAGTTTCCATGGTTACGCAGGCAATTGCCATTTCCACATCATGGCTAACTTTGACCAGCAGACTCTGAGCTTTCAAATGATATATAATTCAGGTCTGTGTATAAAGGGGACACTAAATCTGAAAATTTTGGCCTTCTGCCGCTCACCTAATATACATATATACAACAGAGTAAATGTAAAACTTCATATATATCGGGAGCACAAGTTAAGTACAGAAAGAAAGAAGAGGAAAAGAGATAGTATCTATTAAGTGATAACAAAGTTTACGAGAAGAAAATTTGCAACAGTTTTGAAGATAATTTCATTTTGGGTGGGTGATAAGGATTTATGACCGTAGAGAAATAACGACAGCTTTTCTTTTTGTGTTTTGAAAGAGGTCTTGCTTGCATGTAGAGTTTCATTTATTTTTTGGTAAAGGGGAGGGTACTTTGAATTGAGTAAAGGGCATCTGAAGAAAAAGTGAAGAGGGGTTTCAAGGGCACCACAGGTGCAGTGTGGTGTATCAATAGTAGTCCAGTTATGCCTAAACAATTCTGCTCTAAATAAACACCCGACCCTCGCTCTGTTAAGAATTTTTTCATGATTTCTGTTCAAGTTTATATTGTTGTTGAAAGCGACCCAGCAGTGAGGTGATTTTTTATCGAGTTCTTGAAAGATGAGATTGAAGGTAAAGATTTAGTGGAGGAGGAGAGTTGATCCCATGAAGACATCAGAAAATAGTTAACTGAGGTACGGGGGTATTTAGGAGGAAGTTTAAAATCTCTTTTGTTATTTTCTCGGGTTATGATTGGAAAAGGGTTTCTGAATGGGCGGAATATATCAGAAACATAGGAGGGGACCAAATTCGCCATGACTGAAAACATAATTTTTTGAGCATGCATTTTTCTTCTAACAAATAGAGAAATCCAATTTAGTTGTTCAAATATTTTGGAGGTACAAGAGCTAGGTAAGGCTCCCAGTACTATTATGCCAGCTTGGTAATGAAGAGACGATAGTTTCGATAATTTCTTCTGGAGTGAGTTATGATAGAAGATGTCATAGANACCTGAAATTAAGAGCAATAGACATAAATTAATTTTATAGGGCAGACCAGGAGTTATTGGTAAGATAAACAGAGAGGATGGAAAAAAGGTACCGGTAAGAAAAGACATACTTTTGGCCAATCTATTGTTTAGCACATTATTTCGGTTGTATATATTGAGATAATTTGTACTGTTATTAATAGTAGCAGACACTAAAATTGTTTCCACTTTCCAAGACTGAGAGTCACCGGGGCTTGGGTAGACTTCCCCTGAAATTAAGAGCAGTAGAAGTATAATAGTCACCAGAGGTAACCAGCAGCAAGTTACGGGTGTTGGAGATAAAGAAGATAATGAAAATAAGGATATAACGTAATTTGGCTCCGTTTTGCATTTTGCTATACTAGTAGAAATTTGACTATAAGAATAAATCGAGTTAACAAGTCTACTAGGCAAATTGCCGACTATGTCAGTTGTGATCAGTTGAAAATGATTCAAAACACTTCCTCCTAACTCACAATAAAGATCGCAATTATAATGCCTACGAGAATTTGAACCTTCATGTGTTACATATATGTACACTATGAACATCAATATACCATCTCTCAAACCAGTGATACTCGGTTTGATCTTAAGCAACCACAGATAAGCAACAAAGATTTCAACCACAGGGTTGTGCCTGTCAAGAGTATAGATGGTTACAGACAATTTTAAAGTTGAAGCATTTTCTTTCCTAGTTACTTTCCCCTCCACTAGATCCTATCTTGGAGTACTTGAAAGCTGCGGTGAAGGAACTCTGGGCCTAAAAATTGGAACGCTATTTACAGTATATACAGGTTGGCCCATTTGAGCGGTAACTAACCCTGGGTTTGGGTGTGGTTGGCCGTTAAAAATCCCTGGATGATTGCTAACATGCTTTCCAGTCCACACATTCATTGTGTTTGTGTTATCCCCCGTGTTCTGCTGACCTCTTCTGTACATTTCGGGAGTTTTTTCTCGGATCAAGCCATGGTTGGTAATGAAGAACCTATGACCGTCCGGTATTTGGTGGAGCATAAACTCCATGTTTTTTTCCAAAACTCGCTCGCAATGACTTTTACTGTTGCTTATCCATATTTTGCGAAGCCTTGAATCTTTACTGTTCCGTATGTTTTTTTTCCTCCGCAGTACGCACACCTTTTCGTCCAGGGAGCCAAAAGCCACTTTCACAAGCCCAGGCTTTCCACTCCGACCCTTAAGCCGTATACATTCCTGAACATTTGGAATTTCGAACGAATCCTCGCGTTCGCCATCGCTCATTATATCAAGTAAGATCTGACCCACTTTGTCCTCCAGATTCTCTTCAGAATTCTCGTATAAGTTAGCAATGATGACAGTGTTGTCATTGTTTTTTACCCCAGTGTTGTTGGTTTTCATGCAAAAAGCTACGTTGTTCTGTAGGGTAGTTATTGCTCTATCCTTCTCGGCAAGCTCGTTTTGAAGTTTTATTGTAGTCTCTTCAAGTTTTTTTATTTTTTCATTTTGCGTTTTAATTACTTCCTCTAACATGTAGTCCATTTTCATGTTGATTTCGTGAAAAAGTCTGCTACAGGAGCAGTTTCTGGAGTGGGACTCTGGGACAATTTCTCGGGCGGGCGAAATACTGTTCGATTGTTTCAGACGAGTGCCTGACTCTCCGGCTGTATTTGCTTCATCGTACAGGACTTTGTGGGTTTCTTCTAATATAGAACTTAATATAAGTTCGCTAGTGTCGTCACCACTAGTATTCCCTGAGTTGTGGTCGTATTTGTCGGATTGATTGGTTGACTTTCTTTTCCTTTTCCTTTTTCCCATAGTGGTACTTGCCCTTCGGCAAAATGCAAAGATCAGGTAGGAAAGTTGTTATGCAATATTGCAATGCAATTACGCCTACTAAGCTGTGCACCCCCTCCGGGGAGTCCTTTATGGTGGTAAATTATGTAATTGGCCTGAGCTACTTTGTATAGGCCCTACTATGGCGTCCGTATATAGAGATACAGGACAAGACAGTTTTTGCTCTTCAAAATGCACTTATCTCTGTGAATGATGTCCCTCTTTGTCCTTCATTGGGAGTCCCTATATGTTCATATACAATCACTGCTACTCGAACTTGATGATCGGAATACAAAAAACATGTAAATACGAAAAAAGTGCAGGAGCCGATCCCTTATAATCTGTACATGACAGTTCCATGTACAGGTGTATACACTTAATTATTTCTGTTGATAAATACATGCACATGCATTTTCAACTTGCGTTGATTTATTTCAGGGGAAATTCTCAAATTGCTGGGCCCCTTTGTGTTAGACAAGAAATTGATCAGAAACTTTGAAAATGGACTCTTGTCAAAAGAAGATACAGAAAAATGGATAAAAGACGCATTTGAAAAGATACGTACGAAGTGTGAGTAATGAGAGAGAGAGAGAGAGAGAGAGAGAGAGAGAGAGATATTAAAGTATCCTGTATATCATGGGGACTCTGGTAAATTTACAGTAAATAAAAAAGGGTGGATTCCCTTTAATAAAGTTGACTTACCGGCACCAAGGGATAAATCAAATTAATTCCTTAGTCAGCCAAAACTTTCAAGAAGTGCATAATTCTAGGACTATAAGGATTTGACTTCATATCCAACATTTTTGCTTTGGGGCTTAATTGCAGCACAACAAGTGATGGGGTTTCTCACATTGCACTGTAATTACAATTCAAATGGTGTGATCGCATTAATGGCGGTGAAGTTGCTACCTTGGTAAAGGTACGGGAGCTCACAAAACAACAAGGCAAATGTCAAAATATTGGCTTTCTGAGGGATGCGGAATCTGGTGACTACTTTTGGGTCATGTGGCTATACCCCATTGATACTGACGTATCAATATTGCTTATATAAGGGTAAATCCCTGGTCTGTAAAACTGCAGTAAATTCATTCACCTGACCAAATTTTCATACAGTATATCTGTCATTCATCTTTAAGCAACATTATGCAGAGCAAACACTCCTGTAGATCAAACAGCCAACACGGTTCGTCAGTATTAAATTGATTTGCAATATTGCAGAAAAACCATGTAACAACACTAATATCAAGAGCTTTGTGAAACTGTAGTGTTTTCCCGTTAGTGTAATTTAGGGATTTATGTATGACTTCTAATTCGCTGATAGGATAGAGAAGAGATATGAACGTGATTTTTAGTCTTTCAGTTAGACTCCTTTATTTTGATCCGTCGATACCAATCAGGCGATCAAGGTTCATTGCATTTATATGAAAGCTCATTTAGTCAGGTGTCAGATTATGTGTGATAGCAGTTTCAAATCAGTTGCTTTCACTTTGTAAATGGCCATATAACACCCTGTTGCATCTGAACCATTTTATGTACTACTGTAAAGGGATTGTTCTAACGTGTTAAGTTAAAAAAAATAGTAAAGCGTTATATCGAATAAAAAGTCAAACGTTCACAAGAGGTCAAATGTTAAAATTTTTTGCTTCAGCAAAATGTTCCCTTTTTTTCTTGTTTATTCTCCATGGCAATAAATGTTTTAGAACAAACTTGTGAAATCAAAAGAATAAAAGTTCTGCTAGGTAACAGTTTGAACTTAACAGTCAAGAAATAGACCCCCGATCAACAAATTCTCGTGTTAATATGATTAAAACCAAAGTAGATATTCATATGTACTGATGCTTGTAAACCATAATTTCGTCACACGTTTTTTTTTCGCTTGTTTTTTATTTAATTTTTAAAACAAACATTTTATTCATACCATCATAATGTATTCTATAGGGTACACATTTGACAGACAAGTTATTTGAGTAACATGATGACTTCATTAGCTCGGAGGTAAAAATATACGCAATTACTGCATATTAGTTAGCTATATGACAACATAAGGCCTTTGCTTGAATTTTTTAATGATGTCAATAACAAAGACTAAACATACATATCCTATTGTAGCTTCATTTTCTTAAATATTGCAGTAACAACATAAATTTATATAGCATAACTATCAGCAGATCCCTTCTCAAATAGATGTTGGAAAATTAGGTATTCCATCCAGTATTTGTTTTTGCAGTTTAAATTAGACTGTCTCAATTACACTTTACTCCAATGTAACATTATATCTTGATCAAGGTACAATGTAATGATTTAGTATAGAATGATGAAAATAATGTGTCAATTCTCATTCATAAAATATAAGCATTTTTTATGCTTATTAAAATAGTTTTCTTAAATAAATGTATCAATGTCATTAACTCAGACTAAAACAAAACAGAACCAACAAAAAATGTATGCTATGTTACCTTTTGTTCTTGTATAAAAATTTCAGTAAGTGACAAAATTATAAATACCTTAGTAAACAGCAAATCATGTCTCCACTAACTGATGGGAAATCGTTTAGCATATTATCATCCGTGGTTGAAACATCCTTTATTCACTTTAGACAGCTGACCACAAAATGAAACACCAAATGCTTTATCAAGATATGAAATTCAATAAAATATTGTTTATTTGTGTTAGTTTTGGATGTTACAATATTGATTGATTTATACAAATTATTAACATTGTAAATAGAACTCATGATTTAATGAACGGTTACTTTTAAAAATTATACTTAATATTTACTATCTGCTTATAAGCGATTGATCAATAATAATGAAAATGGTAAAGTTATTTTTGTTCATTTTCCAAATTTTGTCTAAAGTTTGTTCAGGTCACGTACAGTGTACTTATGTGTTTCAAAAGTCTGAAAAATTGGTTTGTAACTTCCACCAGGCAAAATGTGCTTCAGTAAACCTTTGCCATTCAACTTGTGCCATGGGCTTCCTGTCCAAACCAACATATTCACAAATTACTGATTACTTTTCTTCTACTCCCATTTTCTAAAACACTCATTTAAGGCCGTTTTACAATGTATAAGCAACATTTATCGAACATTACCAGATAAATATTGATTTACATTTTCTTTTTAAAACCAAAGTTTATTGGTGTAATGGCCCTACAAATCCCTCAAATTTGACCTCAGATGACATCTGACCATATTTGATTACACAATTTGTTAATACGAAGGCGAAATGTATAATGGACAACATTTCCTATGCATCCGATGGCAGTATGTCACAATATTGGACACTCCCATTATATTGCTCAAAACGCTGCTATTGGTCTTTATATCCCAGTAAATATTTTTTATGCAGTGTAAGACTTTTCAACATATGAATACTAGTAAGCATTCAGTCGGGTGTAGAAACTTCACTGCTGTCTTTGTGGAGCTGGTAGCTCTCCCATTCTGTTTCTTTGGTACCGAAGTTTAAGTTGTTTATGTCTGTTTCACTGTATACTCCCCTAACTAAAACATCTCAGATATAATGCAATGTGTTAAATACAGTAAAGAGAATCATGTTCTAAGCCAATGTTTTTTGTTCAACTTTTTGTAAAATTTAATTGTTTGTACAAGCATTGAACAATATAAACATAGTAAAAAGTCAAAGCCACTTTTAAGTATTTAGTACAGTATTCTCTGGATTAGAGGACGAACTTGAACAGCCTGTGCATAGAGTCAAATTTCTGTAACGTTTGAGTGTTGACGTTCTTCATATGGCGCAAGGTAGGATGGGGTAATTTTTGTTTACATGATAAATCCTAAGTAATCCAATTCCTGGGAAATTCTACACATCCTGAATGAGGTTCTGGGGCCGGTTTCACAAAGCAGTAGTTAGTTAGAACAACTAACTACTGGACTACCTCGCTAACGAGCAAACTTAGCGATTTTCGAGGGGTGTTTCACGAAGCAGTTGTTAACTCATCGCTAAGTTCAGTCGTAAAGTTCGGTCGTTAGTTCTCTCGTTACTTACCGTAGTCTCGAAACCGTCTGCCGGAAGTGGAACTCTTGCGTAAAAGTGTCACGAAAGCACTAACTCTCCAATTTTTGGTGGCTGAAAATGCATAAGAACGTCTGCTTTGAGGTCGTCGTAAAGGATCTCCACCACCTTTCTGCCGCTCTTTTTGTCACAGCTACAATGTAGGCGCAACCTCTCGTAAATTGCATCATCGTGTGTATATTCTAAAAGATTCTGCCTTTCATAAAAACGTCGTAGTCAACGTTGCCGTCTGGCGGTACGGATAGCAAGAAAAGTAGCCGCCATATTGGATACAAAGACAACGACAGACAACGGTAACTAAGCAACCTTTTTATTTTACTCATTACGCATGCGTACGATGAAACTCTAGAGTTAGCGACTGGTCTGACCAGTCGTTAAATATCCAAGGCAACAACGAGACAATAACGAGCGAGAGAACTAGCGATTGCTTCGTGAAACAGCACTATAACTAGCGAGAGGCTAACTACCGATCGCTAACTAACTACTGCTTTGTGAAACCGGCCCCTGATCTAGATATTAATTTGAGCTCGCCATCAATTAGGGATCTGGAACTGGTTAGCATATAACCACCATACTGTTGCATTAGCTGAACGTGGACAAGCATTATCATGCTGAGACATAAATGAATGGTCATGGTCCCCAAAGACATTCTATACAAAATTCTGCAAGTTCCTCTTCAGTGCTTGGATTTATTGCCCTTCTTTGAGGTTTCTTTATCACTGCCAGCTCGCCTACACCATAGTAGCCAATACACCCCATACCGTGACTTATGGGGGGGGGGGTGCATCCTGTTGAACAGATCGAGGCAAAACATTGGGAAGTTACTTCAAAGCATCTGTTCTCCATACACCTACGCGTCCATTACTCTTCACAACATTTAACCTGCTTTCATCTGAGAACAGTATCATTGCACAGTAGCTGGTGCCCTTGCCAGAATCCCGGTACAAC